TCGCCCTCCCCTTTTGTATTTCTTCCAATGGGGGGGGGTCTCTCCGCGTTGGGAGGGAGGCAGCCAAGCCTTTGCAAGGGTCTCACCCTGAGTCCATATCCTGTTGACTGGGATCTCTCGTCCATTTCCGCCCCCCCCCCCGAGATCAAGAAAGGCGAGAGGGGGGGGTCTCCCGGGCGGTGGGAGAGTCAGGAGGACTCAAAACCTTGGGGATCTCTGGGTAGCCCAGACTAGGTGGCTTGCCCACCCACCCACCTACCCACTCCAGGCTTCCCGTGCCCCTCGGAGCTTCTTGGCAACCCTCACCAAGGAACGGACCTCACCCCTCCATGATTGCAAGCGATCCCTGTTTTCGGGCAAAACATGTGGAGTGGAGGCGAAGAGCCATTAAGTGTACAAAAGACCCGCTCTTTGGTTCTGGATGCTAAGGCCCAAGCTGGCTGCTGAGGTTTTGGGGTCCTCCTTCCTGGGGTGTGGGGCCGGGGGGGGGGAAACGCGTGCTTCCAAATGCCCCCCCGCCACCCACAGGAGGGTTCTCCTCTCCATCCTCACAGCAGCCCTTCGAGGTGGGCCAGGTGGTGGTCGGGGAGTGAATGTGACAGACCATCGAGATGTTTTTATGGTCAAGGGAGAATTTGAGCCCCAGTGTCCTGAATCCTAGTCCGAGGGTCAGAGCTGGGGAAGAGAAGGTCCCGGCCATCGCTGGGTCAGCCAGGAGACCGTTTCCTGAAGGCAAATCCACTTGGCTTGTATGAGTTTGTGCCAGATCCACCTGCGCCCATTTGCATACGAGCCATATGTGCCCCTGAAAAGGGGGGGAGGGAGAAGGAAGGCAGCCTTCCCGTTTAATTGCAAAATAAACAACAAGGCGGTTAAAATCCAGCCGCCTCCCAGTGGAGAAGAGCAAGAACAGCCGGCTGTCCGTTTAACCAACAGGGCCCGAGGGCACCGAGGCGGTGGTGGGTCCGTTTCCTTTCCTGGCTTCGTTTAAGCCATACTTGCTCTTAGCCGAGGCGTAGTCGTCCTTCGGCCTTTTAAAAACTGATATTGTTATCAGCAAGAAAGCCGAGGACCCACCCCAGGCGGACGGCGGCGAAATTAAACGGGGTGCTGCTCAAAGTGAGGAGAAAGGGGTCTAAATGAAGGATCGTTAATTGATCCGTCTGCTCATTAGAGGAGGCCTGGTGGCCAGTTCCGGGCCCTCCTCTGGCCCACATCTGGCCGAAAGCTTTGGCCTTCTCCGGAAAGGGCTTGCAGTATGGTTGTTCCAGATGTTAAGGGGGGGCGCGTGTCGGAAAGGGGTCCGTGTCTCTCGCGCCCACAGGCCCGTTTCCTGCTGGCAGAGCGTTGCAGACTCAAGCCACCCCGGGGAGCTTGATGGTCCGCGCGATTCGTGTGGTTGGTGACTTGAACCCAAGCCCAATCATGATGTCCAGCCACTACGCCCCACGACATTGGGGGGGTCTGGCAAGATTCGTTTCAGGCATTTTCCCTGCCATGTGTGCCAAAGCGGCCACGCATGTTGTCATGCCCCTCAACTGTCTTAGGAGCTTGTGTGAGCCACCGGTGGCTCTGCCTCGGGCGACCGAATATCTTGGGGCAGCCCCTGTAACACGGGGGCCGGTTTCTATGCAGCTCTGCCGGTTTCACGGACGGACGGCTGGGGAGCCAAAGCTAACAAGCCGTTAAACCGGTAGGCGGTTAAAGGCCGCCCCGGCTGTTCAGCCGCACAACACACAAAAGTTAGGGCACCTAAATGCTTCTATAAAAAGGAGAAGTGGGTGGTTGTTTATCTTCACAATCCTTCCTAGTGGAATGGCTGCTGATTTACACATCACTGGGGGGGGGGGGGGGGGGAGAAAGAAAACACCAATTTGCATGAAATCAGACATCTAAATTTGTGCATCCAGAAGCAAAACCTTTTTTTTCTTAGAATTCAAACAGAACGGCTCGCACATGCATGGAAAGACTCGGTGACTTGTGTAGCTCTTAAGTCTGCTCATTGTGGTTTTTTTCCTGGGGGGGGGGGAAATCAAAAAAAAAAAGTGGACCGTACTTTCCAGTGGCTTTTCAGCCTGGAGCTTTCTGGGAACCGAAGTCTTTAAAAGAGGGAATTCACCCCTTCAGCCTTTGTCCAAATCTCTCTTTGTTATTTTGTGGCTTTGGGCCTGGCTCACCCCTCCCTCTCAGAGATGCAGGAAGACCCCACCCGTGGGAGAGGCTGTGATTAAATGGTAATTGGTGACCTGTTCGGTTATTGCTTCTCACTTCCAGTCCGGCTGGACTGGCCAGGTCAGTAATTTGCAAAGATAGCACAGCTTGGAAGCTTATTTTTTTAAAAAGTAATTGCTCCATCCAACTCAGTACGGTGCACAAAAAGGAACTAATTGCTGTTACATTTGTTGAACATGTAGCTTTTTTCATTACTTATTTGCACAATTTCCCCCCAAAAAATTATCAGTCACTGTTTTTGTTACTTTTTAAAAATATCTGCCTTTTTCTTTGCTTGCTTCTTGTTATTGTCACTTTTTAAAAAATACCTTTGAGTCAGTAAGATAGTGATGTAAACGTCGAAAGAGTCCAGTCCAAGACACAGACCAGGGAGAAAATGCGGCGGGCTTAAGAATGTGACAATCAACAGGTTTCCAGAGGTGTCGTTAAAAATAACTTTCCAAAGTACTGTAACTGAAAAAACTCTTCCTACCACGACAGTAGCGTGGCTTTGTCTCCTCTCTGGGTGTTACTAGTGAAATATCCCCTTCTTATATACTCTGATTCCCCTCTAGGTTAAATTGTTAAAGGTAACTACCGGTATATTGCCTTCCAGCTCTGCTGTGATGATGATTTGCAAAACAATGGTGCCCAGGATGATGGGTTTTTAGCCTGTAACTCACTATCTGCAATTTCCTTTTTAAGTGCGCATTGTATTTTGAACGCCCCTGATCTCAATTCCAATATTATAGCGTGTAACGCAGTGTCCATTCCTGCCCCCTTTAGTGGTCTTGATCGGAGAGTCCGGCGTCGGGAAAACCAACCTGCTCTCCCGTTTCACCCGCAATGAATTCAACCACGACAGTCGCACCACGATTGGGGTGGAGTTCTCGACCCGCACCATCCTGGTGGGTGATGCCCTCGTGAAAGCCCAAATTTGGGACACGGCTGGTCTGGAGCGTTACCGTGCCATCACTTCAGCGTAAGTAGAAACAGGGTAGGGGTAACGAACGTGGAGGCAGCGCTGTGTAGTGGTTGTAGCAATGGGATTCAAGAGATCTACTTGTGCGTGGAGTTCGCCAGGTGCCCTAGGAACATTGGCTCCCAGACTGATTTGTCTCACGGGATTATCACGTGGATTAAGTACGGTGGTGCCCCGCATGATGACGATAATTCGTTCCGTGAAAATCGCTGTTTAGCGAAATCATTGTCATGCGAAATGCGATTCCCCATTGGAATGCATTGAAACCTGTTTAATGTGTTCCAATGTGGAAAATACCTCATCGTCCAGCGAAGATCGCCCATAGGGAAGCCATTTTGTGAGCGCCGATCAGCTGTAAAAATGGCTGTCCTGCGAAGCATGGGTCTGGAAAACACAGGGCAGCCATTTTGCGAAGCCAACGATCAGCTGTAGAAATCATTGTCTTGTGAACAAATGGTCCGCGAAACACGGACCAAATCAACATCCAGCGAAAACTGCCAATTGAAATCGCTGTTTTGCGAATCGCTATAGCAATCACAAAACGTCATTGTTATGTGAATGCATCGTTTAGTGGGGTCGTCGTCTAGCCAGGTGCCAATGTAGATGGAAGGCCCATCTACCATCTTGAGCTCCTTGAAGAACTGGGATAGAAATGGAACAAATAAATATATAAATATAAACCAATAGATAGTTGTCTTCGTTGTGTGCCGTCAAGTCAGTTCTGACCGACGATGAGCCTTTTCAAGGTTTTCCGGGTAGAGAAGACTCAGACGTGGTTTTCCCCTTCCTGTCTTTGGGCTGCATCCTGCTGTGGTAAAGCCACCCAAGCTACCTCTCAATCAGTGGTTCCCAACCTTGGTGTGTGTGTGTGTGTGGGGGGGTGTCCCCAGATGTTCCTAGACTACAACTCCCAGAAATCTCCTGGCCAGCACAGCTAGAGGTGAAGGCTTCTGGGAGTTGTAGTCCAAGGATACCCAGGGTTACCCAAGGTTGGGAAACCTCTGCTCTAAATATATGAGCTTAAAATATAGAGATGGACGGATGGACGGATGGGTGAGTGAGTGGGTGGGTGGGTGGAAGGACGGACGGACGGACGGATGGACGGACGGACGGACGGACGGACGGATGGCATCTCAGGATATGCTGGGCTGTTCTGAAGCTCCAGTAACTGATTTTGGCTGGTCCGCAACCCCTGGGGGAGCTGCCTGGGCCAGAAATGGGCCAGAAACGGTGGATCCCTCCCTTTCTCCCTCTTTCTCCTTCCTGCTTCTTTCCCTCTCCGTCCTGTTCTGACGCCTCCTCCTCCTCTCCGCCCCTCTCAGCTACTACAGGGGAGCCGTCGGCGCCCTCTTGGTTTTCGACATCACCAAGCACCAGACCTACGACGTGGTGGAGCGCTGGCTGAAGGAGCTGTACGACCACGCCGAGGCCACCATCGTGGTGATGCTGGTGGGCAACAAGACGGACCTGGCCCACTCCCGGGAGGTGCCGACCGAGGAGGCCAAGATGTATGCAGGTATGGGGCGGCGGGGGGGGTTAGGGGGGACGAGCAGGTCTGAGGCTTCAATGGGGCAGGGATGCAAAGCAAGGCTGAGGAATGCCCCACGCCTCTGGGAAGGATTCGTGTCGGTCTGCGCGGGAATCGGAAACGAAGTGAAGAAACGCACGATGGTGGCCTTCTTGGTTTAAATGGTTCTCCGATGGATCCATTGATCAAGTTTCCTCTGCCTTCCCATGAGAGGTTAGCTAGAACGGAGGGGGGTCGGTTAGGCAGGCTTCTCTGGGGCAAGAATCTCTCCTCCCCAAGCTCTTTCCTAGGTGCAAACGAGCATTCTAGAAATATATTTAATATTGTCGTTTGTAGCACGGCTTCACGCAGCGTTCATGCTTTTCCCATGTGGTTTGCAAGAACTTTTGCTCAAGCCGGTTCTGCTTCTTTTTTTGGAATCGGCCCCCAAAAAACTTGTCGTTTTCAGAGATTACAACTCAGAATATTGCTCCGTGTGTGTGTGAAAAGATCCATGGGATTTCTTGTCTTCCCTCCCGACCCCCTTTCCAAGAGGGAGCCGAGATCTGAAGGGAGTTTTGTGGTCTCTCTCTTTTGTCTCCCCCCAGAAAACAACGGGTTGCTCTTTCTGGAGACCTCAGCCTTGGACTCCACCAACGTTGAGCTGGCTTTTGAGACCATTTTGAGAGGTACGTATGGGTTCCGGCCCTTGGCGCATCAAGCGTGGTGCGGAGTGGAAGCTCGCCTGCTCCTTGCTCTGAGGTTGGCGTGACCTGGGCCCCATTGCAGTCTGAGCCCCCCATCCCTGAATTCGGGATGTCTCTTGCAACTCACGCCTGTGACCCCCAATATCCTTACAAAACCCAGCTTCCCCCCCCCAATGAAGAAGCTCTCTTTCAGCCTCTAGTGGGCAATTTAATTTTTTAAAAATTGGGGTTTTGTGGGACCTCCCGGGGTGTTTGGGTCCTTTCAAAAGGGAACCCCCATCTCCTGCGTTAGAGCCATCTTTCTCTACTTTTTTTTAAAAGGGCCAGCAGACACGTTACTCGTTGTCTGTTGTTCCAACACAGCTCATTCAGAATAAATGTTGTTCCAACACGGCATTTCCAGAATAAATGTTTGCATTTATCCAGAAATTTGAGAAAGAAGACATTTGCCCTGAAACAACTGCGTTCGTTTCAAAGACACCTATATTTCGGGCCTGTTATATTTCGCTTTTTGTCCCGGCCCGATTCTATCTAATTTCTGGAAGCGGTTTAGCCTGTGAAGGGTGACCCCCCCCTCGGCCCCTCCAGGGAAATCCAGGGATCCTCTGGGTCTAGGAAAACCTCTGGCCGAGGATCCCAATAACTCTCGCTGCCCTCCAGATCCGGCCATACCGAGGAAGAGGGACCCAGTGGCTGCCGACTCGTGAGGTGTCCACTTTTGGGGTTCCGAAGAGGGACACCAAGAGGTGTCTGGCTTTCTTTGGGAATGGTTCGGAGCCTGGATGGCCGGCTTCCTCGTGGGTCACCGTGCCACGAATCCAACTTCATATTGGGATTTCTCTATTTCTCTCTCTTTCCTCCTAGATATTTTCAACAAGGTGCAAAAACAGAAGCAGAAAAGTCCCCTGGACAACGCCGGCAACACCGTCCCGCTCTCTGCCGAAAACCCCAACGCCACTTCCGCCTCTCAGCCCGTGCAGGGAAAGAGAGCTTGCTGCTTGAACCTCTGAAGGATGCCGTGGGGGTGGGACGTGTGTGTGTGTGTGTGTGTCTCGTCCATCATGAAAACTGGGATTTTGGGGGAGAGAGAGGATCATTTGCAGCCTCTGTATCCGCCCAAAAGGGAAGGGTCCAATCCGGTCAATATCCCAACTGGAGAAGACCTCTCGAACCTAGCAGGGCTTAGAGGGCCGGCGTGGGTGGGTGGGTGTGTACGTCGGAGTCTCAGTCCTGAAGCTCCCCAAGTCTGTGGTCACCACTCGATCTTTTCGGCCTGATCGACCTCACAGGGTTGTTGCAGTGAGAGTAAAGCAAAGAGGAAGGCGGCCTCGAACCCAAGAGGTAGACGAGAAATACACCCCAATATAGACACCTAGCCTTAACGGGGTCCTCTTCATTCTAGGGACCTGACCCAGCCAATACTAACAATCGGGTTTACCCCTTGTGCATCCATGTAAAAAAACAACTTACAGTAGGACCCCCGCATCTGCAGGATCGGTATCCACTGATTCACTTATCTACAGTCTGAAAATATTAAAAAATCAAAAGAAAAATCCTAGAAATATATATTTCTAAAGGTGAAGTTACCAGAACTGGCCAGTGGAGGGAGACAGAGACCATGCTATGTATAGTGTTAGCTATAATCCGCATTTTTCAGCATCCGTGGTGGGGCTTAGAACCAATCCCTCGCGGATACAGGGGTCTGACTGTATTTGATTTGATTTGATTGATTCTATTCCTGCCTTCTGGTCTTCCAGGAAACCTTAAACTCAATCTCCTAAAATGTTACGGTTGCCTGCAACCCTGGATTCATCCTTACGACTAGTCCATGCATACTTACCCAGGATTACGCCACTTGAATTTGGGGGGGGGGGCTTCATGTCACATGATCAGAAAGTAACAGGGCTTACAGAGTAGACCTTTGGTCTAGATGGGCGGGATAGAAATCCAATAAATAAAAATACAAAAGTTCCTTTTTCCGGATTGAAAGGTCCCAGATTTCCCTCCACCAGCCTAGCTCCTGGGAGTTACAATCTTGAGCTGTTGTGTTTTTTTTTAAAAAAAGAATTTTCCCATACTCTAGGAAGGGGTTGTGATGAGCGGGTGGTTTGATCAGGACTTGAGTTACTCAAGAGTAGAACCTGGCTGCATTTGGTGGCTTTTCCTCCATAGAAAACGGAGGGTCCTGGTGCCTGCGTAAAGCCCACTGCGAAATGGGCTCCCTCGGGAGGGAAAATGGCATATATATTTTTTGGTTCTAATATGTTCTCCAGGGAGCTCAAGCAGGAAGAATTTTTCCACGACGACCCTGCGAGGCAGCTCAGGCTGACGTGAGGCTCAGGGTTTGCCCTCTTAAGCCGAGTCTTATCTCAGAAGGCAAACCTCTCCCCCCGCCAAAAAAAAACCACCATAGAAAAGAATTAAGAGGTTTGTTTTGGCTTCAGCATCCGTAGACCGAAGGTTTTGTGGGCCGCGTCTGACAAAGTGGTCATCAAGCTGCTGCCTGCCAAATTGATGGAGACTCTGTGATTTAGCGTCTCCAGACTGCTCAGCTCTTGCACACTCAAGTGTCGTGGCTTCCTTGAGGTAGTCCGTCCACCTCGTATTGGGGTCTTCCTCTTTTCCTGCTGCCTTTTCACCTTTCCTCGCAGGAGGGTCCTTTCTAATCATCATCTTGTCTTCTCGTGAGAGGCTCAAAGGAGGACAGCCCCAGTTCCATCATCTTCACCTCCAGAGGGAATTCAGGTTTGATTTGATCCAGAATCCACTTTGTTGCCTTTCTGGCCATCCAGGATCTTCCACAAAACTATTATGAAGCGAAACAGAAGGTAGCATTCACTCTCTGTCCAAATACAGCCCTTTGGGTCTTTTTTTTCTCCTTTGGGGGGAAAAAACAACCCTTTGCATTCTCCCCAGTTTTAGGTGGGTGGGGGGTGGAATTTAAGATCTTATCTCCTGTTCTTAAAAATTCTAGACTGGCAGTTCGGAGACAATAACATGCCCCCAATAGGCAAGCAAATGATGTTGGGCATGAAATGCCACCTCTGTGCCAAGTCTTCTTTGCATGGTGGTTTTTATGCTTTTGGAGGGTGGTGTGGTTAGAAATGGGTAAGTGGAGGTGGAAATCTCACCCTGACCCACACCCAGAGGGTGCCTGACCCAGAATCAAGCTTAACTGGATGGATTTCCTTCCAGAGGACAAGAGCAGCCGCTTATGGGAGCGGAAATGTGCCCGGGTATTGCTCATGTAAATTGTATAACTTGTATGTATTTACAGAGGAAATATTTTGTAAATAAATTGCTCTGGATTATGCGTGCCCAACTCGTTTATGAGCTGGTTGATGTGTTTGGAACGAAGCTTAGGGCTATTAAATATTCCCTTTTTATTATTAATAAAATATTTATTTATTTATTTATTTATTTATTTATTTATTAATACTGAAGATGTTCAGTCTTAAAGGGTTGAAAAACATGTTTGCACCGGTTGATCCTGGCAAAACAGACTTGCAAGGTTTCCTCTCTTGCTGCAAAGGGAAGACTGGGACAATGAGAGACATCATCATCATCATCATCATCATCATCATTTTGGAACCACAGAGCTGGAAGGAGCACATGGAGTCGAACCCCCAACCCAGGGACCTAAACCACTGAGCTATCTAGCTAGCTACATTACTGAGCCCTATTCTGGATGTTTCACATCATCCTCATCATCTTAGAACTGCAGAGCGGGAAGGGACCCTAAGGATCATCCAGTCCAGCCTCAACACCAGAGCTAACCTGACCTGGCTTTCCTTCACGGTGGGCTCTATCCAGATTCCGTGGCAGATGGGCCTTGTTATCCGTGCTTGTGCGCTTAGGGGATGCTGGGGTTTGTAGTCCAAAACCCCGCTTCTCAAATCTGCCCGCCGGCTTTTTTAGGGCTGCCTCGCCGCGGCTTTCGAGCAGCCTTTTTGTCCACCCCTTGGGCGGCTTCGTGCCACCTGCTTCTAGCCATCCTGCAGATGATGGATATTAACCTTTAATCTACCAAATCAACCTCCGCCCTTGTGTTCTGGGGCCGCCTTCCCCTCCTCTTCTCTTCGCGGACTGACCCTTTAAAACAGAGGGTGGGGAAAAGCGAAAGAAAAGAGGCGGGCCCCGCCCCCTTACCTGCGCCAGGTGAGCTCCTGGCCAGGCGGGGCGGTTCCGGGGCCCCCCAGCGCACCAATCCGAGCCGAGCCCGAGGGCTGCTCTCCACCAATGGCGAGGCGAGAAAGCCTTCCTCCTCCTCCAACTCCCGGGGCTGCTCTACCTGCCGCCGGTCGGACCCAGGAAATCCCAGAGCCGTGAGGTCATCCCTCGGGTCCGGCACGCGGAGGCGCAGGTGTGTCCTTACCTGCTGGGCCGGGCGGAGTCGGGGGGGGGGGCTTCGCAGGTCCCCGGAGGGAGCGCAAGCCAGGATGCGGGGCAAGGACGACCAGTACGACTACCTGTTCAAAAGTAAGCTCTCCTTCCCCCCCCCTCAGATTTTCCTTTCTCCCTACTTTTTTGGGGGGTGGGAAAGGCTTTCCTTCCTTTAAAGGTGGCCCCCTTGGCTCTTCTCGGGGTCTTGAGGGGGGGGAGGTCTCGGGGCTTCTTTCCGAAATGCCCCCTCCCCGAGTTCATTGATAGCTCAAGAGAAGCGCTTGATCT